AACCTGGAGTCCCTCAGCAAGCGCCGTCACAGCAGGAGGGTTTATTAGGTGCGTGAAACACAGCCTAGAAAGTCCTTCGTTAACACAGAGAACGGAAAGTTACAGCCAAGTCCTTCTGGGACTGTCCAGAGCCCTCTGCCCCCCCTCTTTAGTCACAATCACCCACACTTAACAACCCCACCTGGCCCCTCCCCAGTCCTTTGTCCTCGTTCCTGGCAACCATTGTCACCTGGCCCTCCTTAGTCCTTCCTCCTTTAGCTGGTCACACCTGCTGGCTTCCTAAGGAGGGGGGGCCACCCATGGTTGTTAGTCGCCAGGTGCCAAATGTCCAGGTAATTGCAGTGGCCATTGTCTTCTTGGATTCTCCATGGGCCCAGGTGTCAGTCACACCTGGATGTCTGCAAAGAGTAAACATCCTTTTCCCACCACCGCTTTAACCAAGCACCACATGGGGAAACTGAGGCACACAGAATATTCATACAGAATATTAGGAAAAAAAATTCCTACTCTGTCACACATTGGTTTTGCTTGTGCTGGTGAATCCACAGGCTAACAGAGCTGGGTTTGAACTGAGATAAGCGCAGCCACACAGGGGAATTATTTCAGTCTTTAACCAAATGGAGCTTCAGTGTTTGGATCCAGTACCAGGTACCAAATGGGCCTGGGAAGGACAGCTGTGAAGATTGTAGGGCATTAAGATAAAATTGTTATGAATAGGTGTGACTCAGTTTCCCCACTTGCTGTGTATTACTACCCACTGGTTTTGAAGGGGTTAATGTTTCCTTCGGGGCAGGAGCAATAACAGGTGTGGGTTGGTGACTCAGCCTGTCTGGGTTGGTAGGAAAGCACGATCAAGAAGGGGTCCTGTATGAATAGGGGGCCTTGGAGAGATGGTAAGAAACCCAAGGACTGGGCATTAACTCTTAACAACTAGCAGCCAAGGAGGCAGAACTTGTGAATGTAGCAGGGTGGCAGCTGGGGTCAAAGGAGGTGCCAGGAGACAGCATTAAGGACTCGGCTGCTCAGGACAGAGAGACAGGGACCCAGACAGAGAGAGTCAGGGTCCAGGAGGCCTGGGGAAGTGAGACAGGTGATGGATTCTGAATTCAGTATTGCCTTCCCTTGATTCACCTAAGGGGCCCTCGGTGCTGGATTCCAGCTGATTAAGAAGCCCCATCTCACAGCAGATCCTCCCTGGTGGCATCGCTCCCTAATGAGCAGAAGTCTCTGTCAGGAGTCCGAACCCATCGGAACTCCCTGGGAGTGCAGTGAGAAACAGGGAGGCTGGAGCCTGAGGGCCCAGTCCTGAAGAAGTGGAGCCCTGGGGCTCACCCTAGCAAAAAGTTGAGCCCAGGGTCTGGCATATTAAAGGGGGAACTCCCAGAGGAGACTGTACAAAGGCTGAGGCATGGGACCCCGTTGGTCCGTATCTGTTGCACACGGCAGCATCTCCCACATCCATCACCGGGGCATCCTGGCACCTCCCCGGTCGGACATTAAGCAACCTAACTAAGGTCTGTCCGGTGGGATTCGTTCCGGCCCTGGGGAGGGTGAGAATTGTGCGTGCTGTGAGGGGGGCCTGTAGGGAAGGCTTTTGGTCATACCAAATCCGTGCTGCCTGTGTGTTTCCAGCAGAGAATGTCGCTGGGAAACTGGCACAGGAGCTGGCTGGGATGCTCCCTGGAGGGAGGGGGGTGTTGAGCTCCCCCCCAGAGGAAGTTCCTTTTCCCACATGGACAATACCCCGCCCCCTGCACCAGAGGGATCACATTGAGCGTGGGGAGGGGGGTGAGTTATGACAGTGTGGGGTGGGGACAGGGACTCTTGGCTCCACACTAGCTGCCTCATCTACAGGCACCATTTCCAGTTCCTCCAAGGTTCTGTCCCTGGCTGGGGGAGGGGAGTGGGGTTTAGTGGTTAGAGCTGGGAGCCAGGACTCCTGGGTTCTGTCCCTGTCCATCCATATCTGTTTTGTGTCCAAGGTAGCTGATGGGTCACTCAGCTCTGCTCTTCCTGAAATCTTGTCCTCCCTTGGCTTCAGTGACTGTCCTCTCCTGGTTCTCCTCCTCCTTCTCTAATCATTCCCAGGGTGTCCTTTGGAGGATCCTGCTTTCTGTGGGCATTCCACAGGCCTCTGCTCTTGGCCCCCTTCTCTTCTCCCTCTTCTTCTTAGTTCTGGGTAATCTCATCCACAAACACAAATTCAACTACCATCTCTATGCCGCTGACTCACAGATCTGCCTCTCTGCTCCAGACCTGTCTCCTCCTGTCCACACTGAAATCCCAGCCTGCCTCTGCCATCACCTTGTGGCTCTCTGTCTGTCGGCTCAAACACAACATGGCTAAACCAGAGCTCAGAATCTCCCCCTACCGCTATCTTCTTTCTCAGTCACTGTGGACACCACCCCATCTTGCCTGTCACTCAGACCCCTACCCTGGGCATCATCTTCAAATCGGACCTCTCTCTAGGTGCTCACATCCAGGCTGTGGCTAAATCTCACCAGTTCTTTCTTCATAACATCTCTAAAGTTTGGCTTTTCCTAGCCAAGGAGTGGTGTATTGGGCTGGAACTCAGGGCTCCTGGGTTCGACTCTTTGGTGCCTCAGTTTCCCCCCCATGCAATTGCGACGGCACTACCGAAGGGGATACTGTAAGGATAACCTAAATGACCACAAGAGGCCTTGATGTGAGGCCTATAAACACCTTGGTAGACCTCTAGGGGTCCCTGGAAATGTCAAATGCTGACAAAAACGCAGTGCCCAGTTCCATCATAGGGGGAATAAAAGTAATTAAGGGCTTGAACATTTTATTGCTTCTGTCAGCCAAATGCATTACATTCAGCAGTGCTCCTTGCACCCTGCCATTCACCCCACCGCTCTCTGGGTGCCACCTGCCCATTGTTCTCTATTTCAGGGACTCCCTCCAATCTTCCCCCCTGCCAGGGACTCTGTCTGCCCACCAGTCTCCCACTGCCACTTAGCACTCTTCCTACACAATGCTTGGAACCCCTTTTCCACCCCCCACCAGAGGCTCTGTTCACCCCTTCTCCATTCCTCCCCATGCCACAGTCCCCCAACCTCCCCTGTGCGGGGAGCTGAAGATACCCTCTCTGGTTTTTCTGATTTTCCCCCAAAATCCACAGGGCTCTGCCCAGTGCTTAATTTGTAATGAAAGGGGCTCAAGCAATTCTTTTACATTCATACCTCATGCAGCAACCAGAGGTGCTGGGGCTATGAACTGCCAAGCCCAGAGACCCCGGGGCTCAGCCCTGGCACAAATTAAGCGCTGGTTCTGCCTGTTGTGGACATTCGGCCATTGTGGAATTGACCAGATGCAGTGTTCAAAGGTTATCATGTTATTGACACAAAGATACGGTCAAGTAGGGACTTTGCATGCTCACTCAGGCAGAGCTGGGGAGAGGAGGGTGGATATTATTTGTATCAGGGAAGCGCCCCAAGCAGGGGTTGGGGCCCCACTGGGCTGGATACAAAACAGCATGTGTTCTTGGCCCCCATGAGTCGCATGCTGCCACTAGGGGGTGCTAAGGTCTAAGCTTGCACCCAAGCCAGGAGTCAAAATGCTCACCAGCATGAAAGCCCAGGGGTGGAGGAGCAGAAGCAATGATTAGTGGATGTGCAGGTGACTGGGGACCACACCCCCACGCTCCATTGTGTGTGTGTGTGTAGGGGCACGGTGCATTGCCCACCCGCCAGCCCTTGCAAAGGCCCAGTGAGGCAGCACTAACACAGGCAGACAAGGCACTTCCTGCCCCCCTCCTCTGCTACACCCTGAGCAGAGCTAGCTGTGCCGGTGCCTGTTGGGAACTTGAAACTCCCCCAGTCCCCTCCATGCAGCACAGCGCCCCCTAGTGTACGGTGCGGCACTGGAGTTAGCACTGACTGTGAGACCACAATGCCCTCTACGGAGCCCCCCTATTCTCTGCAGCACAGTGCCCCCTAGTGCCTTGCTGGAGCATTGGCGTCAGTACTGACGGTGAGGGGAGAGCGCCCCCTACCCCACTGCTTGCAGCCCAGTGCTTTGTGTCTAGCTACCATGTCTCCATAGGCAAAGTTTGGGCGCGCCAAGTAGCCGCCTTTGCTTCCTACTGTGCTCCTGTCTGGAGGGTTGGGGAACAGCCTCCTCCCAGCCTGGAGGCTCCTGGGTTTTGCAGAGCTGGGGAGAGAGAGCTGGCTTGCTGCTGTCAGCTCTTACTTATCATGGCCTCCGGATCCGGACATCTGCTTCCTGGCCTGGCAGCCCTTTGTCTCTGAGATGTGGCTGGGCAGGAAGGGATGGCGGGATCCATCCCTGTTCTGAGCAAGACGCGGAGAACTAGTTACTTCATGGAGCCTGGACTATCCAGTATCCAGCCACCTACAGCCTGTCCCCTTTGAACACAGCCCCTGCTATCTCAACCCTGGACACCCCCCCACAAGCTCTGCTGGGGCAGCTTCATCCTGATTTGCAGCCCTTCTGCTGTCCCACAGCCCTGTCCATGCCCCTCAGTCTTAACCCACAGCCCCCTGCTATCTCCGCATCCAGCCTTCACTTTCCCAAGGCTCCCAACCCTGTATCCCCTGCAGGCACTGGACATTTCCTTGGGGCTGGACCACGGGGTGGTGGATATAAATCACCCTAGGAACATAGGGGTTAAGCTCTTCTTCCCCCCGCCCCTTTCTACAGCTGAACGGGTGTTTCACTGAAACTTTTTTCTTTACTGTTGGATTGGGAAATCCAACACTTGGAGCAGAACTCTAGATAGCAAGGAATTGTGAAATTCCAAAAATAGAGAAAACAGGACATCTCAAACTCAAAAAATCCTGAAATCTAAAAATGAATGGACTCTGGGTATGTAGGAACTGGAAAAGTCAGAGTCCTGGAAAGGAAATTACAATAAAATCTCTCTCCCCAAATCACACTGGGGCCATACCATGTAGGACCCCAAATTCTGGGCTCAGGCACTCAGAGAAGCAGGAAATCACCAATCAGGAGACACCGACTTTGCCCAAAGTAGCAATTTTAAAACATTTATTATTTTTACTTTTTTGGGGGGGAGGGTTTGCCCTAATCTCCCCCGTCGCCTGAGTCACACTGCTCTCGCTACACCGCGGGGTTGGAGTTAGCACCTGGGGGCGGGGGAGAGGTTGGTGAAGAAGCTAAGAGAGACGCTGCTTCTGGGGGGGGGTAGCACCCAAAATGCATCTTTGACCTTCCCCCCCCCAGTTCCCAGCTCCATTCCCTACCCCCCCAAAGTCTGCACTGGGATCTTCACGGAGGTGACCACCCCCGCCCCCCCGCATCCTCTGCAGCACCCCTTCCCCAGACCCCAGGGGAGAGACCCCCACCAACAGCCTGCCTCTGCTCTCCAGTCCTTCCGATGCAGGCGGGTGGGTGAAGTCACTGGGGAGCAGCTCCCTCGAGGGGGGGCTCCTGGCCCCCACCCCTCCGGCCCCTTGGGGGAGTACAGTCCGGGGGGTAGGCCCCAGGGGAGGTCCCTAGTCCGGGTGGGTCCTGGCCCCCCACCCGCTCGGGGGAGTCTCTAGTCCTCGGGCGAGCAGGCCAGGTGCAGCTGGTCCGGGCTGCCCACGCTGCCGGTGCTGGAGCTGCCGTCGCCCAGGTCCCGGGGCCCGCAGGGCAGGCTGAGCTCCGAGGAGCCCACGGGGCTGCTGTCGGCGCGGGCGGCGCACTCCTCCTCCAGCGCCAGGCAGAGCGCCTTGAGCTCCAGGTTATCGGCGGCCAGGCGCTCCTGCAGCCCCTCCAGCCCGGCCAGCTTGTGCAGGCAGGCGGCCAGCTCGTCCCGCAGCACCCGGGCCGCCTGCTGCCCGAACAGCTGCCAGTCCCGGGCCAGCCGCTTGGCCTTCAGCCGGTCGTCGTCCAGGAAGCAGCAGAGGTCGCGGAGCTCGCGGTTCTCGGCCGCCAGGCGCTCGTTCACCTGCTTCAGCTCGCGGATCTCCCGCAGATGCTCCTGCAGCTGCCGATTGACGCCCTGGATCAGCCGCCCCCGCTGCACCAGCGCCGCCAGCTTCTCCGCCTCCTCCTGCCGCAGCCGCCGCACCAGCTCCTCCTTGCTGCAGCCGCCCAGCTCCGAGTCGCTCAGCTGGGCCAGGGCCCGGCCGGCCGCCGGCTCGCCGGCCTCGCTGGCCATCGCGCTGCCGCAAGGTGGTTCCTGCTCCCCCGCCCTTTCCAGCGCCGCCACCCCGCCTCCTCCCGCCCGCAGATCAGCCGCGGGCCGGCAGCCTCCCCGGCGCAGAGCCCCGCTCCTCCGGGGCGCACGGGCCCCCCTAGCCACAGCCCTCGGTTCCTTCGGCGCGCACGGAACCCCCTCTTCTTCGGGGCCCACGGGCCCCCTGGCCACCGACCTTGGCACCTGCGGGGCGCACGGAACCCGCCTCCTTCTTCGGATCAGGGCGCACGGGCCCCCTACCCACCGACCTGGGCTCCCTCGGGGCGGACGGGCCCCATTGGCCCACGGAATCGCCTCTTCTGGGGCGCAGGCCCCCCAGCCACGCACTTTGGCTGCTTGCAACCGCCCGATCCCTTTCTTTGTGGCCCACGAACCACCCTCGAGGGCGATTCTCGGCTTCTCGCGGGGCGGGGGGGGGGGGCACGACCCCTGTCTCCAAGACGCACCGTCCCCAGCGCAGTCCGCTGCCCCCCTTCCAGCAGCGCGCGGCTCAAGAGGGTCCGGGCTGCAGGGGCTGAGCCCGACGGAGGGAGAGGAGGATGGTCCCCCCCTTCCCGGGGCGGGGGATCCCGGCCGAGGCTGCGCGCCCCTGCGGTGCTGGTCTCTGCCGGGACTCAGTGCAGCCGGCGCATCCTGCGGCGGGGACCCGCCGGGGCGGGGGGCGCGTACGGGGGCTGCGGCTCGGAGCGCTGCCGGGGAGCGGGGAGGAAGCCGTGACGGGGGAGTAACAATGCGAAAGGCACAAATGCCAGCAGCGGCACCGCATCCCCCAAGCCGGCGGGCTGGCTCCGGGGCGGGGACGGGTGGGGGGAGATGACAGGCTGGGGGAGGGGTGGCTAGAGTGGGCCGCTGGGGGTCTAGATCGAGCGGGGTGGAGACAGCGGAGGGGGGCGGGGGCGGGACAGGTGCCTGTGATGGAGGGGGGGAACTCGGGTTTGGGGGGGAAGGGGAAGGAGGGAGGGGGGACTAGTGCATGGCATGAGCGAAGGGCTAGGGCAGGTTGGGTGGGTGAAGGGGAGGAAGGGTTGGGGGGACACATTTAAGGGGGGAGGGTGATGGGTGTGTAGGAAGGAGGTGGGGGCAGGTGTTCAGTGGAGGGGCAGGTCTCCCCCCCGGGGGGGGGCTGAGTGCGCTGGGAGAACAGGGCCTGTCTGTGACAAGTGTGCACGGGTGACATTGTGGGTTTGTTATTGTAGGGTCATAAACCACTGACCTGACGCCCTCCCTGAGCTGCATCTGGTATGGCTGGGGTGGGGGGGGAATTGATGGAGCCCCACAGGGGAAAGTGCCCCCACCCAGTCCCCCACCCGTTCCTTGCAACACAGCACTGCACTGGGACCGGCAGTGACTCCTCAGGGTCAGTACCCTCCACCAAGCCCCTGCCCCACTCCTTGGAGCACCCCTCCCACGTTGGGGCCTGCTCTGAGCCAGGGGAGAGCACTTCCTATTGAGCCCACCCCCACCCCAGCAACTTCTCCCATTGCCCAGATGTGCCGCTCCCCCCCCCCCCCCCACTATTCTCAACAGGAGGGGAGGGGCTGCCAGGAATCCTGTCCCAGAGACAGGAAGGATGTTGGGCTACAATGGAAGAGGAGATATGGGGTGGGGGGGAGGAAGGAAGTGCTGTTAACCCTTAAGGTCCCAGGCAGGCCTGGGTAGGGAGGTGGGTGCTAACAACCCCCCCTCCCTGACACAGGGATGCCAAAGGAAGGGGGCTGCTGTCTGGGAAGGGGCTAAGGGAAGAGGTGGAAAAGGACAGGGAGCAAAGGGGCTTTGAACCTAGGTCTCTGGGGGAGGGTGTTCTCTAGCAGGGAGGAGGTGTGGGGAGGGGTTGAATCTAGGCATCTGGGGTGCATTTTCTAGCAGGGAGGATGGCGGGTGGAACCCAAGATTCTGGGGCCTGATTCCGAGCAGGGAGAGGGCTGGGGATTCAGTAGCAGGAGTGTGTATGGGAGGGGGGACAATCTCTAGCAGGGAGTGGGGCTTGGGGACTGAACCCAGGAATCCAGAGGTTATTCCCTAGCAGGGAGCGGAGGTTGGGGAGTAGCCGGGCCATGGCTGGCAGATAGATCCAGATTCCTGCAATGCCAAGGCTGGTGGGAACAAAGGGCCTTTGTGTTCCCGCTGGGACATGAGCAGTGTGTGTGTGGGAGAATAGAGGCCTGGGTGGGGGAGGGAAGGGAGGCTGGAACATGGGCACAAGGCAGGAAAGGGAGAGGTGGGATGAGAGGTTGGGAATGGGAGACCCCAGTGCACCCCACTCAGGGTTACAGATTGTCCCCTCCCGAGGAGACCTCCAACTGGGCAGGAACAGGGTTGGCCTAGGAGACCAGGAGAATCCAGCTCTGCAGAGAATGGGGGCAGCGGGGTGTTTATTAGGGGTGTTCTCCCCTCAGATTCAGTGCTGACCCCAATGCCCCAGCACAGTGCAAGGGATTCTTACATAAACAGCCCCCACGCCTCACCCCAGATGGCTGCATCTCAGCTCCCAGTGAGGGATCCCTCTAGAACAGTGGTTCCCAAACTGGGGTTTGTGAAATGTTACAGGGGATTCTTGGGGGGGAAAAATCCTAATGGCGGACAGAGCTGTCCCTAGGGACCTCGGGCAGCATGGGCCAGCAGCCCGGAGCCCCTGGACTTCCAAGAGTTAAGCAGATCAAAGCGAGCATATCTATCACACTGAGGAGATTTAAAGTTCAAGACTCCTTATAAGAAATGGAAAGGGAGGTGGATATTTTTTGCTGTTTTTAAAATGATTATGAAGGAGTTTAAGGTTTGTTGTAAGGTGCGTTGTTTGCCTGGACTGCTCAAGACCTGAATGCTTGTGTAGGAGGAGAAACTCTTTGAGTTCCCTTCTTAAATACCTTCATGCTGTTTCACATCTGATACTCCTTGATGAAACCTAAGAGCCTTGTCTTAGAACTAACTGGCTTATGCAATGTGATACAAGCTACTTGAGTGAGATCTTGGAAGCGTGTTACCGTTTTCAAAATGTAATATAAATACTGTCATGATAAATAATAATTAATAATAAATCGAGTGTAATAAGCATATCATAAAAAGAAATGTTATATTTCCAAGATTACTGCTTTTATAATTTATACTCGGGTAAAGGAGAAAATCCCTGGAAATATTCATTGCTAGGAAGGGGTTCCCGGGAGTTGACATTTTAGTGAGAGGGGTTCACAGGTTGTTGAAGTTTGGGAGCCACCGCTCTAGAAACAGAAGGAAAGCTGGCTGCAACTGAGCTGCTAAAGAGAAAGCCGGGGAGGCTGCCCCCTTCACAGCCTCAGAGGGGAGAAAGCTCCCTCCCGCCCTCCCTGTAACTGCGGAGGACAAAGGAGACCCCCGGGGCACCAGATGCTGCCTGCAGAGGGGCGCACCGGGACCCTCCACAGTTCCCCATGTCCACGTTAAGTCACAGGCTGGAGTAGCGGTAGATCCAGATCGGACTCTGCACCCCACTCTCCTTCCAGAGCTAGGGACAGAACCCAGGCGTCCCGGCTCTGGGCTGCTCGCACCCAGATGGCTCCGCCCCGCACAGGGTGACGCGGGCAGCCATGCCGCTGCTGCGACCTGGAAGCAAACAGCCCGGGGGTCATATGGAAAGTGTCAATCGAGGGACAGCTCTGCAGGTTCGTCTTTGTGCCCTGGGAGTGGGGAGGGGTGGCAGCTGGGAGCCAGGACTCCTGGGTTCTGTCCCCCGCCCTGGCAGGGGAGTGGGATCTAGTAGTTAGAGCAGGGAGGGGCTGGGTGCCAGGACTCCTGGGTTCTGTCCCAGCTCTGGGAGGGGAGTGGGGTCTAGTGGTTAATGCAGAGTGGGGCTGGGTGCGAGGACTCTGGGGTTCCATCCCCAGCTCTAGCAGGGGAGTGGGGGTGGGAGTCAGGACTCCTGGGTTCTGTCCCAGCTCTGGGAGGGGAGTGGGTCGAGTAGAGGCAGCATTCCCTGGTTCTCAGTTACTGTATCAGGGGGCGGTCCCCATTGTGTGACTGTCCCCCTGCTCTACTAGACCCACCCCACTTTGCCCCCTTCTCTCCCCACAGGCTCCCTGTCTCTTCTCCGGAGGCCAGCAGGGGGCAGCTGGGAGTTGGGGTCCTGCTCCTGGAGCCTGGGCCGGGCTAAATTGGTGCTGTGGGCCATGACCAACGACCTGGACATCTTTGTGGGGAACACCACGCTGATCGATGAAGAGGTGTACCAGCTCTGGCTGGATGGGTACTCAGGTATGGGGATTAGGGGGCTGGATGCCAGGATTCTGCCCAAGCCTGTGGGTGGAATTAGGGTCTAAGTGGGTTAGAGCAGTGGGTGACTGGAGGTCAGGACTCCTGGGTTCTACTCCCAGGTCTAAGAGAAGAGTAACTCTGGGTGAGTGTTCCCCCCCAACAACCCATCTGTGCCTCAGTTTACCCTGTTGCTCTGCTAATGCCAAGGTGGGAAATAGGATGCTTGTCCCATTGACCCCGTCCCCCGATAGCGGGTGGTGAGAGATGAGGTCTGGCCCTGCTCCCCCATACATTGATCTGGCTTCTGAGCCCAGTCCCACCTGCAGTGAGTGATGTGGTGGGAGGTTGGCCCTGCTGACCGCAGTCCCTTACCCCTCCCAGTGAGTGATGCGGTGAGCCTGCGGCTGCGCAGCGGAATCCTGGAGCAGACGGGGGCCACGGTGGATGTGCTGCAGAGCGACACCATGGATCATTACCGCACCTTCCACATGCTTGAGCGTCTGCTGCACACCCCCTCCAAGCTCATCCACCAGCTACACTTTCAGATCCCGCCATCCCGCCAGGCCATGCTCATTGAGAGGTGGGGGTACGGGGCTGGGAGAGGAGGGGGTTGGGCCCAAGGCTGGAGGGAGGCCAGACAGAGGCCAGGAGTGAAGGCAGGAGGCTGGGTGGGGAAGTGAAGGGAGCAAGGCCAGGAGGGAGGCTGGGGGTTGGGGAAGCTTGGTCCAAGGCTGGGGGGAAGGAAGGGAGGAGGA